GAACGAGAAGAGAGAGGAGCCTGAGAGAGCGAGACTTGAGGCAGAGGAGAGAGAGGCAGAACACGCGCGCCGTGCACATACACACGCAACGCACGCACGCACACACCACCACACCTACACACCTACACACACACACACACACACACACACACACACACACACACACACACACACACACACACACACACACACACACACACACACACACACACACACACACACACACACACACACACACACACACACACACACACACACAGAAAAAAAGAGAGAGAGTAGGGATACACGGGGGATGATACTGAAGGAGGGAAGGGAGAACGGGGTGCGCGTGAGGTCGAGAGAGCGTACCATCGGCAGTATGACGGCCGCTGCGCACCCAGCCAGCATCAGCAGATTCTTCTCAACCCATCGCATCAGCTTCTCATAGCAACCGGCCAGAAATATCTCCTCGGTCGTGATCGCCAGTTGAAAGTTCTAAAATAATCACGACAGATGGCGCTGATTCGTGTGGCGAGTTGTAATCACTAGGTATGCCGGCGTGCGTCGCCGAGAGGCGATCACTGATCTCTCTCTCTCTCGCGCGCTCTCTCCCTCTCTATATATATATACATATATCTATCTATTGTGCCTGCGGCCTACAACCCGCTACCACGCAGGCCTGCATAATAAACACGGGAGTTGTGAACGAAGTAAAATGGCTTCGTAGAGACGATGAAATGTTCAATTATTTAACTATACCTTAGTTAAATGAAAACGCGTGGCGCTAAAGAGCGTTAAATTAAAAGACGCGGCGCTACGGGCGGTAAATTAAAAGACGCGGCGCTAGGAGGCGGTGTATGAAAACACTCGGCGCTAAGGGGCGCTAATCGAAGACACACGGCGCCAGGGGGGGGGGAATCAACAAAACGATACAACAACAGGGCCTACACGAAACAAGCAGTGCACGATAGATCCGCGTCATGCCACGTAACGTCGGCAAGGTTATCGTAACCCAGTTTATCGTTGATTATGGCCGTCACAGTGCATCGATCACGCGATATCATTGCCCTGGCTGTCCCACCCACAGGCACTTCGAACGTCTCAATAAAAAAAAAGTATGGTAAATAAACACGAAATGTATTTACTACCAAAGTCGTAATGTTTCTCTACTCTATTTCGCCTATTATTGCCGATAACTTCCTGTAAATTCAGTTCAAATGCTCCTCTGCAACACACACGCCGCACGCACGCCGCTGTGCACAAACAACTAGAATATATACAACTAGAATCTATATTCTAGTTGTTTGTGCACAGCGGTGTGCGTGCGGCGTACTTGTGTGTTGCAGATGAGCATTTGAACGGCATTTACAGGAGGTTATCGGCAATAATAGGCGAAAGAGAGTAGAAAAACATTAAGACTTTGGTATTAAATACATTTCGTGTTTATTTACAATACATTTTTTTACGAGACGTTCCAAGTGCCTGTGGTGCCACCGGTTTTACTCGGTCGCTACACGCAGGCCTATTTGTATGTGGGATGTGTGTGTGTGTGTGTGTGTGTGTGTGTGTGTGTGTGTGTGTGTGTGTGTGTGTGTGTGTGTGTGTGTGTGTGTGTCGTGTCGTCGTGTACGTGTCGTGTGTCGTGTCGTCGTCGTCGTCGTCGTCGTCGTGTGTAGTCGTGTGTCGTGTGCGTGTGCGTGTAGTGTGTGT